ATTAAGGTCATGGGATGCATGAAGAACAGTGGTCCAGTTGGCCTCCGAGCCACCAATCCCCTCTTTCCCTGGGGTCCAAGTGGCTACTTCTTTCTGCTTTCACTTCTGCTTAACCCCGGGAATTGTGGTCAAATGAAACACTGTGATTCCTCTGAGGAGAATGATGAATAGTGCACCCTAGGTTCATCTTCCGGCTGGACTCCTGCTTTCTCTGTGCACCTCGCAGCAGCATCCCTTCCTGCAGTCCCCATTCAGCTTCTCTACTTTGAGACTTCCCGTATCTCCCCCTTGACCTAGTTATCGCCTTCTCCTTTGCCATCCCCATCTCTTTTTCCTTTCTTTCACTCATAGTCTCCTTTTTTTTTTTTTTTTTGGCTCATTTATTTGACAAGCAGTTACTCAGCATGTATTATGTGCTTACAGGAGCAGCACAGTACATACTTTGTGAGGTCTGGTGCAAAACTGGAAAATGCAGGGCCCTTAATTGAAATTAAGAATTTCAAGACAAGAGACACCTGGGTGGCTCAGTGGGTTAAAGCCTCTGCCTTCAGCTCAGGTCATGTTCCCAGGGTCCTGGGATCGAGCCCCGCATCGGGCTCTCTGCTCAGCAGGGAGCCTGCTTCCTCCTCTCTCTCTCTCTGCTTCTCTGCCTGCTTGTGATCTCTGTCTGTCAAATAAATAAATAAAATCTTAAAAAAAAAAAGAATTTCAAGACAAGGCAGAGCATCAAAGCAGTCATGAGGCCCTGTGTGAGTGCACAGGTTGCAAGTCCATGAAGCTGAGGCTGACCTTGTATGTACAATACTATGGGGACATGGTGAGAATGTGTAACATCACAGAATTGAAATCTCAGTACATTTTCTTTTTTAAAGGAAATTCTACAGCCACTGTGGGGCTCAAGTTCATAACCCTGAGATCAGAGGTTTTATGCTGTACTGACTAAGCCAGCCTGTCAGTACTTTTTCAAGACATTTTTATTATGGAAATAGCCCAGCACACATAAAAGAGGAAAGAACAGTGTAATGAACTTTCCATGTACCCATCACTCAGCTTCAGTAATTACATTTCATCCACTCTTTCCACCTCTCCCACTTTTTAAAGGCAGCATGTCATTTCCACCCTAAATGTTTCAGAATGTAGTTCCAACCAATGAGAACTCTGTGCCCAGCCACCCTGCCATTATCACACTTAATGAAATCAATATTAATTTCTTAGTATCACCTAATATCCAGTCCATGTTATTTTCCCCCAGTTGTCTCAAAATGTGTTCTTACAGTTTGTACATTCTTTTAAGATATGCTATTAAGGGGCTGGCTTACTCAGTCAGTAGAGCATGCAATTCTTGATCTCAGGGTTGTTGGATTTGGGCCCCACATTAGGTGTAGAGCCTACTTAAAAAAAATTAAAAAGGGGTGCTGGGGTGGCTCAGTTGGTTAAGCATCTGACTTGATCTCGGCTCAAGTCTTGATCTCAGGGTCGTGAGTTTGAGCCCCATGTTGGGGTCCACACTGGGTGTAAAGCCTACTTATAAACAAACTATTAAGGACAATATGGACATTTCAAAAACAATCCAGTTAGAAAATGGGCAGAATCCATCAGAAAGGATGAATACCCAACCTCTGTATCAACATGGACGGGACTGGAGGAGACTATGCTGAGTGAAATAAGTTAAGCAGAGAGAGTCAGTTATCACATGATTTCACTTACTTGTGAAGCATAAGGAATAAACACAGAGGACATTGGGAAAAGGAAAGGAAAAGTGAATTGGGGGAAATCAGAGGGGGAGACGAACCATGAGAGACTGTGGACTCTGAGAAACTAAGGGTTGTGGAGGGGAGGGGAGTTGGGGGTTGGGTGAGCCTGGTGGTGGGTATTAAGGGTACATACTGCATGGAGCACTGGGTGTGGTGCATAAACAATGAATCTTAGAACACTGAAAACATAAAACAAAATTTAAAAAAAAAAAAAAGAAAATAAGAGCAGAAGAGTATAAAGAGGGAATAAAAGAATAATCTTTAAAAATAAAGGAAAAAATGGGCAGAAGGTGTGAACAGATATTTCACTGAAGAGGATGTACAGATGGCGAAGTACACAAAAAGATATCCATTATTCCTTAGGAAAATGCAAATTAAAATCACAATGAGATAGCACTTACACACCTATCAGAATGGCTAAAATTAAAAAGAGTAATGACACCAAATGCTGGTGAAGATGCAGAGAAACTGGATCACTTACACATTTCTGGTGGGAAGGTTAAGATGGTTTGGCCACTTAGGAAAAATGTAGCAGTTCTTTGTACAATTAAACATGCACTTACCATATGACCCAGCAACTGTATTCCTGAACCCCCCAAAATGAAAATCTGCATGTACACAAAAACGTGTACAAGAATATTCATAGCAGGTTTATTTGTAATAGCCCTAAACTGAAAACAACCTAAATGTCCTTCAACAGGTCAAACAAACTCTGGCACATCCATACCATGGAATACTACTCAGCAATAAAAAGAACAAACCACTGAGACACACACCTTGCATGTGAAAATAAGCCAATCTGACGCCATTAATATAGCACTCTTGAAATGAGAAGACTATATGAAGAACAGATTAGTCATTGCCAGGGTTTAGAGTAGTGGGGAGGACAGAAGGTAGCCTAGCTATGAAATGGAAACACGAGGACCCCTTATGCTAAAAATATTTTGTATCTTGTCTGTGATGGTGGTCCCACACACATTACACAGAAAAAAAAGACACACAAATGAGTGCATGAAAAAGTGGTGGAATCTGAACAGGGTTTGATGGAGTGAATCGATGTCAATTTCCTGGTTGTGTCATTGGGCTGTAGCTGCACAAGATGTTACCACTGGGGGAACTTGATGAAGGGTAGATTGAGTCCTCTGAATCATGCCTGACATTTGTGTATTAAAACATATGGACATTTCTGGTTGCACACAGAAAAAACCACAGAGTAGGAATGTGAATGACAAAGGGGAGACTTTTCACTTGGTACTGTGGTTTCTTCCCTTTTGTTTTACCTTCTGTGCCTGTGAAACCTTCTGTTGTTAATTAATGCTTGTGTTTTGGGCCTGTAAAAAATATAATTCTAGAAATTTTACTTAAGGAGTTTGTTTTAGAAGCATGTTTTTTGGTACACTTCAAATTTGCACTGCAATGCAAAAAAGTGGTTCAGTGAATTCTGAGTACTGACATAACTGCAAATTTTATATCGCACTAGGACTGTTGATGGAAGTGGAGGAGAGGAAGAAACTAATATTAAGTATGAAACTCTTTGGGTTAGAAAAAAGTTCCTTTATTTTAAAATACAGCTGCCTTTGGGGGCTTCCCCTTTTCTCAATGATAGTTACTTTGATGTGTCAACTGAGTAGGAGACACTCAGAGAGCTGACAAAACATTTCTGAGTGTGTTCATGAGGGTGTTTCCAGAAGAGACTAGTATTTGAATCCAGAGACTGAGTAGAGAAGGTGGCCCTCAGTAGTGTGTGGGGGTATCATCCAATCTGTTGAGGGCCTGAATGGAACAAAAAAGCAAAGGGCAAACTTGCTTTCTCTGCTTGCACTGAAACATCTGTGTTCTGTTGCCCTCAGACACAGGTGCTCCTGGTTCTCAGGCCTTTAGATTCTGGATTGGAACTATACCACCAGCCCGCTTTCCTGGGCCTCCAGCTTGCGGATTGTGGGACTTCTCAGCCTCCAAAACCATGTGAGCCAATCCCTGATAATAGAACTCCTTTTATATATACCTATAAATAGTATATTGTTTGTTTCTTTGGCGAACCCTGACTGTTGGATTCTACTCAGCAGAAGTTCAGACATTATAATCTGAACTATATTTGTAAGGTTTAGTCTAGAAATTGTCTCATTCCTCCAGAGATTAAGTTTGCTATAGATTAGGAAAATAGAATGCTAGACTCCTTGGAGGAAGATTGGCAGGGCTGGGAGATACGAATCTACAATAAAAGATTATGTCACATTAGCCTGGGATAAGATTTAGGATTAAGTTAAGCAAATGATAACATTTCAAAAACAACTGTGCCCAAATGTGAATCTGCAAATTCTTTTATTTTTTCATTTAAATATTATATATTTTTTCATATGTCAGAATAAATGATCATTTCAAAAAGTATACAAATGAAATGGAAACATTTTGGCATATTTTATTCCAGGATTAATATATTAGTGTCCTCTATAATCTATTTTTATTACATCAAGACATAATTGAGATCATACTAAGTAGTTTCATCTTTTTTCCAAATAATATTCTAAGAATTCCAATGCTGAAATTCTTTACAAGTAGAATTTTTGAGGGTGCCTGGGGGGCAAAGTCAGTTGAGTGATCCTTGGTTTTCTGCTTGGGTCATGCTCTCAGGGTCATGAGATCGGGTGCCATGTCGGGCTCCCCACTCTGTGAGGAGTCCGCTTGGGATTTTTCTTTGCCTGTCTGCCCCTCCCACTTTTGTGCATGCTCCCTCTCTCTCAAATAAATAAATCTTTAAATATATATATATAAAAACTTCTTAAAGATTTTATTTATTAATTTATTTGACAGAAGAGAGAGAGAGAGAGAAAGAGCACAAGTAGGGGAATCAGCAGGCGAGAGGGAGAGGGAGAAGCAGGCTCTCTGCTGAGTAGGAAGCCCAACTCGGGGCTTGATCCCAGGACCCTGGGATCATGACCTGAGCCAAAGGAAGCCCCTTAATGACTAAACCACCCAGGTGCCCTAAAACATATATAATTTTTGATGGCTATGAAACCTTACATCCAGGATGTACCATGACTTATTCAAACATCCTATTGTTATATATTAAGTTACTTGATATCACAGACACTATTGAGACAAGCATCTTTATTCACAAAACTTTTTCTCTACCACCATGCTGTCAGCATATATGAGAACTTCTATAAACTTAAATATGTAACTTCAATATATGAGAAGTAACATTTTAATTTGCTCTTATGTTTCTTATTGGACATTTTCCCATATTTTAAATTTATATTAACTGTACATGTCATGAAATCTTTAAAAAAGGGAGTGTGTATTTGGAGATGTACTTCTGGCCTTGGTGAGCAGATTAGCCTAGTAAGGATCACTGGAAATCCTGGAGTACGCTGGAATAACAGAAGAGGGGAGAAGAGGAAAACCACAAGTGAAGGGGGTTAAGAGGGGAAAATGAGCTCTGAGAGCAGAAAAAGCCAGAGGGCAGAGGCAAGAAATCCCCTCTTAATGCCTCTGGAGACACTGAGCCATCAAAGACACATACCTGCTTCCCACGAGATGTCCAAGTATGGTTTCAGGGTATTGTCAACCAGGTCGAAAGACTACTGAAACAAAGGTCTTCTGATTATTGCACAGCTGGCACATACAGAGCAGGGCCTTTGGATAAATAACTGAGGGAGTGGGAAAGCTGTAGGTTTGTGTGGGAAGGAACAGGGGTTATACTAGGCCAGGGAGAGAGGCCCTGGGGTTTACTCAGGATCTGCTTTGTGGGTGAGCAACTTCCCAGGCCACGGCAACTTCAGCCTGCGGCCCTGTGCTGCCACCTTGCTCTGGTTTTGCTAGTCAGTGTAGTTGGAGCTGGTTCAAATATCTGGGCAGAAGCTCAGCCAAGTTCTGGCTTTTTCTGATCCCAGCTCCGTCTAAGGCACTGTGGCTGGTCAGAAGACAGTAACCTCCAAACTGGTTAGGTGCAAAGTACAGCTGGCTTTTTTCCATCCCTGAAGAGGGACTGTTTCCTCTCCTTCCACATAAGCTGCCCTGAGATGGGCAGCAGGGCTCACAGTATGGAAAGAGCTGTTCACAAACACCTAGAGTGGACAGGAGGTGACTGCAGGAAGAACATACAAACACCAGGGAGGACACAGATCCAGAAATATGATGCCTCATGGCATTATGTTTATTCTGAGGGAAAGCAGAGTTTGGGGCACTACGCGACCCCCTCTACAGCATCTCCCAGGACCACAGAGGAACCTCTATCAGAGAAACCAGAGTCCTAGTGTCACACAGTGGAAGAAGGGGAAGCAGAAGGTCTGCTTTTTATCCCAATAGTTTTGCTTCTCCTGGCCATCCTTAAAGTCTGGCGTTTATGGCTGGAGGCACAGGGCCCATCCACTTCTCTCCTAGATGGAGAAAATCAGTCAGAGGCGGGCCCCACAAGCCCCGAGTGGTTTTCTAGGAAGAGCTCTGTTTGGCATCATTCTCTTCTATGGGGGTAAAAGTGGCCTTTTTCACATTCAGCCCTGAGAACCTCTGTGTATAAGGCTTCATTGCTGGAAATACATGGAATATTTTTTTTTTGCTCTGTATCTGTCCTGGTCAACTGGTAAATGGGGGTGGGCTGGGGTTGAGGGCAGCTCACCATGAACCTGTAACTTACCCAGCAGGTGTGCCAGCAACTCCATCCGATCAGAGCCAAACAGCATGTGGGTTTGGTTATCCAGATGGGCCACTGTGATCGGCAACCCAAAAGCCTGGAGAGAGCAGTTAGTGCAGGGAGGAAGGTGATGGAGCAGGTGTTCATTATGGCTGGGATAGAAGGCTGAGTCGGTACTCGTCTGAGGTCATATAAGCAAAGCAGCCTAAGAGGTGTCTGCTAAGAGGCTCCACAGCTTTAGGAGTTTTCTGTTTCTAATTCTCAGATGCTCTGTCTTTCCTCTCACCATCTAGCTCCCTCCCTTCCTTTCCTTGGACTCTGGGACAAGAAAGGAAAGGATAAGGGTTGTCTGGACAGCTGGGAGGACTCATGTTGGGAGCATCTTTTAGAACAGGAGCATGGGGACCCAGCAGATGCTTGGCCTCAGTCTTCAGCACTGGGGTTGGGGGCCCACATCAAGAATTGCTCACCCCGTATTTACAGGCTGCCTCAGTGGTCTCCTTGAGCTTGTTCTTCACCTTTGGTGTTGAGATCTTTTCCAGAAGTCCTCGGGCTTGTTCTGAAGACATGCCAGCCTTCTCTGCAGCCTGAGGGAATGCGGTGGGGAACACAACTGTGTATTAGTGAGGTAGGGCTCAGAAGAAACTCTGGTCTTTATTTTCTGCTCCCATTTTCCTGGTAAGGCCTTTACTCACCCACCCACAGAGGTCTATCTTTGCTAAGAGGGCCTGTTTTTCTCGCCCCCCCTTAAAATCTTGTGATTGGTGGAAAGAACAGGGTGCAGAAATTTAAAGCCAGAGGGCATCTTAGAAACGAGCTCCCTAACTTACTAACCAAGAGGGGACGGCTGCCCAGAGGCAGTATATGACTTGGTTGGCATTAAAAACTTGTTAGTGGCAGAGCCAACACTGGAATCCAAGTCTGGGCTCTTGCCTTTCTACTTCTCAGAATCCCTGAGTATCTTGTGCTTTTTTTTTTAAATCAAGGGCTGGGCTATAATTCTCATGGCATTTCCCAAGGACTTTTGAGCAGGGCATAGGGAGATAGTCACTGGCAGGGCTTAACAAGAATAAGCGTTTCTATTTGGGGTTTGTTGGTATCATTTGGGATTAGTGGTTCTCAATTTTGGCTGCATCCTAGAATCTTCCGAGGGGGCTTTTTAAAAATCCCACTCATAGGTCATCCCCTAGAAAAATTACATCATAATTTTTGGTAGGCAGTGCCCAGGTGCTCCAGGTGACTAAAATATACAGCCAAGGTTGAGAACCACTGTAGTCTGACCTCCTCAACTTGGAGGGGGGGACGGGAAGTCATGAGGTATATTCTGATGTGACAGGGTCTTTGAGTTGGCTACATGAGAGAATTGTGTCCCAGACCAAATGTTCAACAACAGGGAAGCAGTTAAGTAAGCAAAAGGAGGCCCACTGAATGGACTGCTGTGTAGAAACTAAGAATGGTACTTTCAAAGAATTTACAATGGTATGGAAAATGATTGTTACTCAGTAATGGAAAGAAGCCTGTGCATATACTTTGCAGGAATAAAAACACTGGAGGAACACATTGGCCATTCTTTGTTGATTTGCCATTTTATGTATTAAATCTGAATATGCCTCAACTATCTTTTGTAAACTGCAGGGAAAATACCGTTTTGAATTTCCTGATTTAATCCCACAGACAAGCTTACTTTTCATACCCCCATCTATGGCTGGCACACATTTAAATGTTTTGAGCTATTTCCGTGTGTTTCCACTCAGGCTTCTGTGGGATTCTGGCTTGAGTCCGTTATCTCTCTCTCTCTTTTTTTTCTTTTTTCTTTTTAAAGCCTGTCTGTAAAGTCTCCTGCTTTCTACTCTGGATATATCAGTGAGGTCTGGTGTTGGGAGTGTTTGGGGCCAATACTTCATCCCTCCCCACCTGAGGGTGCCAACATGTAACATCTCCCTCCCATTGAGTTCTTTCATGAAATAAAATCTACCCATGTAGAATTTTGCACTTTCCCTTTCAACCGTGAGATCTATTCTTTTGAGAATCCTCTGAGTTCCAACCTTTCAGGAATTTGGCTCCTCAAATACAGATATCCTTTCTCCCCAAATAACTATGACCTCTTCCACCCAACATGAAAACTGTGTCCTCTTTGCCCCTAAACGTCAGCTATTTTCAGCTTTACTGTGAGAGGGGTGGGGACAGAGCCAGGATACTCACAGCCAGGATGCTCTGGGGCTCCGTGATGTCTTCATCCTGAGAAGAAGAGAACACTCGGCAGGAAGGGGGCAGCGAGGGGTGAGATGGGTGGACAGTAGGCCAGTGAACAATGGGCAGGACCAGGACTCTGGAAATCAGGTTCTAGGGGAAGGTCAGCACGTTATCCAGGGTCTCCCAAGTAGGTTCCCAGAGCCGTGCCCTCACCCGTGACCAGACACGCATCCATAGTTCCCTGGACACTTTCTCCAGCATCTCTGGGTGTTCCATGCTCACAGCAGTGAGGAATCTCATGGCTGATAGACTTCCTGTGGGGCAGAGGTACTCAGAGGCAGGGCTCTTCTAGCTTGTTTCCCATGGAGGACCGGCTCTTTCCTGCTTCTGACATCCGCAGAGCAGCTCAACTGCCCTCACCCTCCCACCCAAATTTCTCATAACCGGTGTATCCTGCTCTTCTTCCCCTCAGGTCCCCCACAAGCTGCTGGTCACTCAGCGCTGGCCTGTGTTTTCCCACGCTTTGTTTCATTTCATGCAATTGCCAGCCCCTACTTCCTGGCCTTTGCTGCCTTCCACTTGATAACCCATCTGTATTTCACTCTACCTTTTTCAAGGATCACAGAGAAGAAATCCTTGGGCAAGTGCATGGGAACCTGGACATACTGTCCCAGGAGCCTGACATCATTTCTCAAGTACTGGGCTTTGCGGGGAAGCAGAGCTGGTGGCTGGTTTCCTGCAAATGGAAATTTGGGCACACTGGTGAGAGTCTACCTGAGGGTCCCAGGCCTGGGGGGACCCCTACCCGGGTTTTCAGCAGAGTGCAAATTACTAGCTGCTGGTGCCAATATAAAGACCCGTTTGAGGGCAGTCCCCCTGGACCTTTGGAAGCTGCCCTCCCTCAAATCCCTGTCCCAAACACTTTTGCCTTCACACCACTGTCTTTCATGATCCCTGCAATGAAGCTGGGGCGCAACTGCAGGCTGATGTTCCAGATGTTCTTATACCGGCACAGGACCTGAAGGAGCAGAGGTGGAGATGGGGAGCCAGTGTGTAAGATGGACACAGTGAAAATGGCCTAGGGAGGGGGAGGGGTGTTCTATGGCAACTGATTAGCCAGAGGCTCTAAGTGAAGAAGAGTAAGGGTTATGCGAACACCCTAAACAATTTGGTTTTAAACGGCAAAACTCCACTCCCAGAAATCAATCCCATGAACTTTGCTCCGTCCCAAGACATCGATCCCAGGATCTTTGCTCAGTGGACAGCTACCATCCTATTCTGCACGGCATCCCCGCCCCCAAACTAACCTAGGCTAAGAGGTGGCTATGCCATGGATTTCTCCTTAATTTTTTGGAGTTACCCCCCACCCTCTTATTCCAAACATCCGTGCGAAACCACTGCCTTAGGCTATAAAGGGTCGATCTGGAGCCAGCGACCGTATCCCGTTTAGAGACACAAAGTGACTTTCAACCCGGGCTGGTAGCGCCAAGAATTTCACGAGACCACGGTCCCCGCGCCCCGCCTCCCCATTTCCTCTGCCCTTGCCCTCCAAGCCCCAGCCAAGGGGGCTCCCGGAGTCACCTCGAAGCCCAACCAGGAGTAGGGGGACAGCACATCGTAGAAGAGCTCCAGGGTGCGCGGCACCGGCCCCATGCTGCAGCAGCGCGCGTTTCCCTGGGCCTGCGCGGCGACCCCGCCACGCTTCCCGGCCTGCCCGGGAGGACCCGCCCCCGTCCCCGCTGCGCAGCCGCGCGAGGAAAACCGCCCAGGGCCAAGTGTGACCGAAGGGCGCCTGGGGCTGGGCCCCCTGGGGAGGCCGTGACTCCCAGCGACACAGCGCCCCCACCAGCACCCCCGCCCCGCCTCCGGCCGCTCCGCGCGCCTCCTGGTCTCCGCCGCTGTCCGGGGCCCAAGCAGGTGTTTGAGTTGTTTATTGTCCCTCTCACTTAGCTGTGCTGCTTTGGCAGGCCCCAGTACCTTTCTGAACCTCAGTTTCTTCGTCATTCCTCTTTAAAATGGACCTACGTGATGATAACCCCTACCTCGTATAGCCTTGTGAGGATGGATACATGTTAGTTATTGGCGTGACTTGGCACTTGAAGGAACTTTCTGAGACCGGGGCAGAGTAAGAAGTGCCCAAATTATACATTTTTTGTACTTTTCGGAGAGTGAGTGCAGGAGAGAAGGAGGCCTCTCTGCCACGATAATCGGAAAGATAATGGAGAATGGTGTGTCCTATTTCTATTTGTGAATATGTCATATCCTCTTACACTGGGATTACATTTACTGCAGGGAAATAATTTCTTAAATATCTTTTTAATTTTATTAAAATTATTCTTAATGTTACTAATTTTATGAATTGGAAAACATAACAATAAAGATTCCACTTCTCATTTGTATTCATTAGAAAAACAACCTTAAGCTACGAGAACACAAAGACTGTAAACATTTACATAGAGTAGAACATACGAAATGAAACAAGGATGCTATTTTCACCCACTTGCAAATTGAATTAATTACTTTGGAATAACTGAAACTGAAAAATTACACATTTCTCCAGTAATTTTAATTTAAAAGTATCCAAGAGCAAATTTAGCCCCATACTAATATTTTATTTTAAAAGTAAGTCATCACTTATTTTTAAAAACTTTAATATTTAGGAATGACTTTGAGATTTACAGAAGAGTTGTAAAGATAGTACAGAAAGTTCCTAGATACCCCTTATCCAGCTTTCCTTAACGGGGACACCTTACATAACCGTGGTGTGGTGATCAAAACTAAGAAATTAACATTGGTACATTACTATTAACTAGATGATGGGCTTCATTCAGATTTCATTTTTTCCACAACTATCCTTGTTTTCTGTTCCAGGATTCATTCCAGGCTACCACCTACCATTTATTTATTTTTTTTATTTTTTTTTTTTTTTAAAGATTTTATTTATTTATTTGACAGAGAGAGATCACAAGTAGATGGAGAGGCAGGCAGAGAGAGAGAGAGGAGGAGGAAGCAGGCTTCTTGCTGAGCAGAGAGCCCGATGTGGGACTCGATCCCAGGACCCTGAGATCATGACCTGAGCCGAAGGCAGCGGCTTAACCCACTGAGCCACCCAGGCATCCCCCACCTACCATTTAGTTGTCCTTCTCTTTAGTCTCCTCCTATCTGTGAAAGTTTCTTGACTTTTTCTTGTGTTTCTTGACCTTGACACTTTTGAAAAGTATTGGTTACGTGTTTTGTAGAATGTCCCTCAATTTGGGTTTGATGTTTTTTTTTATGTCTAGGCTGGGATTGGGATATTATGGAAGTATACCACAAAGGTGAGGTGCCCTTCTCCTTGAATTATGTCAGGGGTTCCTGATACTAACATAACTTATTAGCCATGATGTTAACCTTGACCTTTTGGGTAAGGTGGAAAAAACTGTCAGGTTTCTCTATGGAAAAATCACTGTTTCTGCCTTTCCATAATCTATTGTTTGGAAGGGAGTCATTAAGTACAGCCTAGTTTGGAGGTGGGAGTACTGGCTGAGTAGATTAAGCCCATCTCTTGGAGAGAAGGACATCAAAGAATTTGTGGCTGTTTCATAAAACCACCCATATTTTTGGGGAGATATGTTGAAGCTATGAAATGTCCTGTTTCTCCTTAAATTTTCATCTGCCAATTTTATCATTCATGGTAAGGTAGATTTTGCCTGCAGCAATTATTACTACGGTGTTCTAATGGTGATTTTCTATTTCCCTTGTTTCTTCTACGTTTATTAATTGAAATTCTGAAAGGAGAATTGTTCCATTTATGTATTTATCTATTAATTCATATTTATTTATATCATATGAACTGATGAATATTGTAAGAATCATAGAATGGTAAAACATTGATCTGAGTCTCTACATCCTGCTTCCATCTACTATTATTATTAGTATTATTATTATTATACTGGGCTCTGAGTAGGAATAACAGAAACATATTTACACTTCTTTACACATGCTGAGAGGAGTGCCTAGGTACTGACTAGAATTGTTGGAACAAGAAATAGTGGTGTAAGCCAATTATTTACAGTTGCAAAAGTAACTAATAAAGGGACTAAATATGATGTGATTATCAAACTTAGGAGGGGTGGAAAAGGGGTGGGATATGTAAACCAAATCCTTATCTTTCATGGTCAATGATATTGTCTACATTTGAATCATCATTAGAGCTTTGATCATGTAATTTGGAATTAAGTATTTGAAACCACAAATGCTTTAAATAAACTGCCTTCCCAAATAAGTAAAAGATAGATTGTCTGATAAATGGTTTTGGGTCAACTGGGAGGTTTAAACAAAATGTAGCTGGACCCATACATCACACCTTATGCAAGGAACATGGCTAGCCTGATTGAATATTTTATTTAAAAAAAAAGAAACCTCTTAAGTATCTGAGGAACTTATGGAAAAACCTTTAAAAAAATCTGGGAGTAACTGGGGCGCCTGGTGACTCAGTGGTTTAAGTGTCTGATTTCAGTTCAGGCCATTATCTCTGGATCTTGGGATGGAGTCCCAGCATCAGGCTTCTTGCTCAGTGGGGAGTCTGTTTGTCCCTCTGCCTCTACTTCTGTCCCTCCCCCTGCTCGTGTTCTCTCTGTCACTCTCTTAGAAAAATAAAATCTTCAAAAAAAAAAAAAATCTAAAAGTAGAGACCCCTTTGTTAGCGGTAATACTAAATATAGAAACTTTAAAAGATAAATTCAATTACATAAAATTTAAAAAATTTGGCAAACTCCAGTAAGTCAAAAAATAACTGGGAAAAAAATATTTGGGTTCATTTCATAGTCAAAAAGCTAATTATCCTAGTGTAGAAAGAGCTACAAAATCAATAAAATAAAAGAACAGAAGCCCCTTGGAGAAACGGGCCAATGATATGAACATAGACAGAAATGGACATATGGCACATAAAAAACTGTGTTTGTATATACTTTTTAAAAAGTTGTGAATCAGGATTACACTATGATATGCTTTTATTTATCCAGTTGGGAGAGATCAAAAAGTTTGATGACTCAGGGTGTTGGCAGGGATTTGTGGAAAATCATTGTCTTATGCAACTGGTGGGGGTGTAAATCGGTACAACCTCTAAGGAGGGCAGTTTAGCAATATCTTTCTATTTTGCAAATATACACACCCTTTGACCTAGCAATTCCATTTTTAAGAATTTATATTATAAATATGTTTGCCTTCAGGCAATATGATAGGCTATGGGTTTATTTATTATGACATTATTTATAATAGCAAAAGTTTGGAAACTACCTAAATGTTCATAGACCTGGAACTAATTCAATTCACTATGATTATAATATTTTTCAACTTTATCTTTTATTTTTATTTTTTAAAAGATTTTATTTATCTATTTGACAGACAGAGATCACAAGTAGGCAGAGAGAGGAAGGGGGAAGCAGGCTCCCTGCTGAGCAGAGAGCCCCAATGCGAGGCTTGATCCCAGGACCCTGGGATCATGACCTGAGCCGAAGGCAGAGGCTTTAAACTACTGTGCCACCCAGGAGCCCCTATTTTTCAACTTTAAAAAGAATTTGGAAGCTCGCTATTTTTTAAAAAAATGTTTAAACAATTTTTTAAAGGATTTTATTTATTTATTTGAGACAATAAGGTAGAGAGAGAGAGAGCATGATCTGGGGGAGAGGTAGAAGGAGAGGGGTAGGCAGACTCCCTGCTGAGCCAGGAGCCCGATGTGGGACTCAATCCCAGGACTCTGGGATCATGACCTGAGCAGAAGGTAGACACTTAACAATCTGAGCCACCCAGGCACCCCTGGAAGCTCTTTAAATATTAGTATTGCATCATATCCTATGTATTAATAAGCGAAAAGCAAGATTCAAAACAGTGCATATTATTCGCTGTTTTTTTTTTTAAGGGTTGCCATGCTTTCTAAGTGTGTGGTGTATATATACACATATGTGCATGTTGGTAACACTGGGTGGAGAGACGAAATTGGTGAAACTGGTTGCTTTTGAGGAGGGAAGCTGGGGGTCTGGGGCAGGGCAAGACAAAGTTTTTGTTGGATGTAACATTTAACCCTTTGATTTGCGACCCAAGTGAATATCTTATCTACCCAGAAAGAAAGGCAGGAGGAAAGGATAAAGGCAGGAAGGAGGGAAGAAAAAGGGAGGAAGGAAGGAAGATGATTTTGGGAATTTGTACTGGCAGAACAGGGAGGGGATTGGAAGGAGACTTAGGTATCTGATTTATTGCCATTTGTATATTTTACTTTGCCTAAGGAAAATGTCAGTTATGAAGGCCATGGAGCAGCACGTGTGACACAGTTTTAAGGTACAATATTTGCCAAGATGCAACAGAGTATTTACATCTTTGTTCTCAAGGCCTGACATTTTCATAAGGATTTACCAAGGAGTGTGTGAAATTCTGTGTGCTAGCTTTCTCCCTGAATAAATCATGCCAAAATGCAAGACAGTGAGGTTGACATTATTATGGTTCTAATTTTGGAAACACTGTGCTCTATTAAAAGAGATCAACCCTGGCAAACTGGTGTACTTGAAATATAACTATAACAAACTTAGTTGGAACATCTCACAGTTCGCTGTTCATCAGGTCATACCAGCGTGACAACATTGCAGCTGAGAACAGCTAATATGTGCTTTCATTAAACCCTTATAAAACACATATGCATGTGGGTGAA